AATAGATTCAGATTCACATATTTTTTTTTCTTTTTCTTTTTTTCAGATTCACATATTTTTATACTTATTAAATAATGGTTTTAAACAATAACTATCAAAACCTTTAGTCACATAATCCCAGATCTGGATTAAATCATGGTAGTATCAATATTTTTAAAATTCCAATTTATTTATTCATCAGTAAAATGTAGTATTTGACAATGTCCCCAGAGAATGAGCCTCCTATGTGTAGGAAGATGATAGTCTTATTACATCTGCTATCAATTAGGTCATTTACATGGATAATTTATCCAAATTTTTTTCACACTGATGTTTCCACTTGAATAAAGTAGTATCAGTAGTCACTGTCAGGCCAATACTTAAGAATTAACCATTCCTGAAACAAGGACCAATCTTTATATTAGCATTTCTTGGTTATGGTTCTTAGTCTTGGTATTATTAAGCACTATGAATATTCCTTAACGAGTATGGATGGATTAAGGCAAAAGGATATAGCCTGGTCCCCTTAATCACTTATTCTCTATTTTATTTAAAATTGTTGTTCAGGCTATACAAACTGCTGGCTAGAAAGACACAAGTTGTCCCTTGGATCAACATCTGGTCTTTTAAGCATGAGATTAAAATCTTGGTGTTCAACTCATCTTCTCTTGATTACCATTATGATCATTCCTCAGCAGAACTCACAATGCTGATTTTCAAATGATACCAATGCTATGTATCTTGGCTGTACACAGAGTATTTTTTCTTATTAAAAATATTTAAGAATAATTGGGCAATAATCTACTCAGTCTTTGTAAGCTCTCCATTGAATAATTTTTCATTTTTACAACCATTTTCTGCACGGCTATTATACTTTTCTTCTGTCATCTTCTTCACATAACTAAGTGGTCCCTTCCCTTCAAAGGAGGAGGGATTTTTGAATGAGCCTCCAATTCTATCCCACAATGTGAAATACTGTCCATAGTTGTAGTCAAAGAACACGTGGTGGTCTGTATGATGAGCCGAGCCATTAATAAATGGCTTTAAGATTTCAGGGACTCGAAAATCACCATCATGAATGGAAATCGTCCAGATATTAACCAAGATGTACAAACCTAAATAAACCACCTTATGTAATGGAAAAATAAAAGGGTATATGTGGTAAGGTAGACTCTGAAGGAAGCCATCCACAGGGTGAAAAGCATGACTTGCAAATGGAGTAGGAATCTTCCAAATATGATGAGGTTTATGTATGTGCTGTAGAAAAAAAGGACACAGTTAGCACCACAAACATTACCCAGTGTAACATTCAACTTAGCTTTCCATACTCATGTTGTGGGAATGACCTAACTAGAAAATCCTTTTGAAATTAGCAAAATCACTTTATAAAATGCCCTTCCTCTCTATCGTAAAACAGGAAAATTCTAAGACAGCTCCTGCAGACCCATAAACAAAAATGTACCTCAAAACAAAATGTGCCTCATAATAGCTGTCGTAACTATGGCTACTCAGGCATTTAATATAGATAGAGGAAATTCTTGGAAATAGAACAGAATTTATAATCATACATTGAGGAAATGTGTAATTTCTTTTTCTTTCCCCTACAAATGACTCTACCTTATATACAAGTCTATGATGAAGGCCTCTATGAATCCAGTAGATCAGCATGTCAGTGAAAAAGAGGAATGATATTACACTAACAATGAGTTGAAACCAGCCTAGAAGAGATAACAGGAAACAGAATAATCAAAATTCGGCTCCTAGGATTAGAGTTTACTTTTTACATGTCCATCTAAGTGAAAAATGGGATCCTAGACTCAAACACTGTAAACTGATCTCCCCCGACTCCCTGGAATCTGGTCATTTACTCATTTCCCTCTCATATGTACTGGAAATGTCCCACCTAAAGTGTTTCTTAGTTAAACTATAAAGATATTTATAAAACAGAAGAGGATACTCCTAAGACATCTTTACTATTTAAATCTCTGCGAATAGTCATTTCCTTCATACTACTCTTCCTAAAACATATCTTTACCTATTATCTCCCTGCTTAAAATTTTATTTTCCACTAAATACCTTAAACCTAGCATTTATTCCAACCCATTCTGATCTTTCCGGCCTCATTCCTGTACTTCTATTCTAACGAGGCTGGTTTTCTCAATGTCTTCCCCATGTGTTGAGGTCTTACCTCTGTACCTTTACTCATACTTTTCCAAGAATCTAGAATGCCCTCCTTCCCCATATTTTTACTCATATCCTACCTATTTTTCAAGACCCACCTATTTCATCACGCTAGTATACAATTTTTTATTTCCTCGTGGGTGTTGGTGCCAGCAAACCTGGGTTCAAGTCTCAAATCCCCCACCTATTTGTTACTGAAACTCTCTCTACACCTCATTTACTTACCTATCAAAGCATAGTAATAGTATCTACCTCATAGAATTGTTGTAGGAAAAAATGGATTGATACATGGGAAGAGTTTAGAATTGTCACTAGCACATATTAACACTGAATAAATACTATTACTCTTACTTTCTATATACTAGATACTAAAAATGTATCTTAAAATAATTCCAGAATTTCACGAGAGTTTTGTCACTGCAGGACTGTTTATCATAGAAAAAAGAGTAACAGTCTAAAGGTCTGACATTTAGGAATCCTTCATGTAAATTATGGCTATCCACACAATAAAATGCTATGACTAATATACTATATAATGTCAATATTGACATGAAAATATGGGCACATATGTTGCTAACAGAAAAGAAAAATTAGGGTCCAAACCAGTATGCATAGTAGGACTTCATTTGTGTAAACAGATGTCTATGGGCACAGAAAAGTGGAAGGATGTATACCAAAAAATTTTCAGTTTCTAAGTAGCAAGAGAATGGATTTTTAAAAATCTGTATTTTCTGATTTTCAACAATTATCTGTACGACTCAAGTTATTTATTTTTTTTGGAAGTCTGAATTCAGTAACAATAATAGAAAACAAATGCAGGGATCTATCGCTGATCACTCCAGTCTTCTCCCAGGCATGGTCTCATCTACAACAGACTTTCAAATTGACAGACAAAACTAAAGAAATGAGTATAAATGGCAAGACACGAATGCAGGAAATAAAACATTAAAAACGAATGAATAATTTGTAATTATTCTAAAAGAAGAAAAAGAGACAGATTTGGTTCTATAAAGAGACCAACTGGTGCTCAGCCCACTTTCCGCCCGACAAATATTCATGTTAGTTACTTACCACTCGGAAACTCTCCTATGTCGTCATACAATTTGCTGTAACCTCTCAACTCTAGCAGGAACAACGCAACAGTAGGAATACTCATCCATGGCAATGCCTGGACAGTAAACTTAATCTCTCGAGAGACTTGATTCTGAAAATGAAATTTCCAATACTTATAAATCACAAAATCTATGTTATACAAAAACTAGCATAAAATTACTTTGGATTGAGTTTTTAAAATTCCTTTTCTATGAAGGGGCTTACCTCCAAACTGCTTCTATTAAAATTTTAATATTTGGGAATGGGTGTGTAAGAAAGTCATTCCTTTTGTACTGAGCAAATGCAATAAATATTTTAGATTCTGAAATCTTTCTCCTTCCCACAAAATCTATATTCTAAACT